TACAGCACTTGATCAGTGATAAAATAAAATTCATAAATATATGTTAGCTTCACATATCTAGAGTGTTATCCAGTAAGCTTTCAGTGTTACAGACGTGCTACATATGGAAATACAAAGTAGACAGTATTAAAATTATTAAAGTGGATTTTTACCCATAACAACTAGCAAGGAACATACATTCCACATTAATAATTATGTTACCAAAATTAGTATGTGTTGTAAAGTGCCTCCAGTATTGCTCCTGTTTCTTCTTGCTGGAGGCTGCCATTTTGCTGAAGCCCAGAGCCCCTGAGCAGCATTAAATCTTTAGGCTGTCAACAGATCGGCCTCCACAAAGTGACAACAAATAGAGAGCAACTGAGCATGTGCAGAGCAGTGTGAGACAGTGTATTACTGGATTTTAAATGGTATAGGCACTTATTTTTAATGTTTTACATAGGTCAGTGGTTCTCAACCTTCCTAATGCCGTGACCCTTTAATACAGTTCCTCATGTTGTGGTGACCCCCAACCATAACATTATTTACCCAGTAATTATAATTCATGAAGTGTTGTTTTACCTCCAATACTACTGCTTTCAACACAATAGCTGCTTTCAACACAGTAGCTGCTTTCTACACAATAGCTGCTTTCAACACAGTAACTGCTTTCTACACAGCAGCTGCTTTCAACACAGTAGCTGCTTTCTACACAGCAGCTGCTTTCTACACAGTAGCTGCTCTTTACACATTGGAAATATGTGTTTTCCGATGGTCTTAGGCGACCCCTGTGAAAGGGTTGTTCGACCCCCAAAGGGGTCGCGTCCCACAGGTTGAGAACCACTGACATAGGTATACCTGCAAAACGGGCCAGCCTGAAGTGATTTAGCAGGACTTAATTTTTTGACTAAATTTCCACTTTGATTTTTTAACATTCAATAAGAATTTCAGATACAGATTGCAGTTTAAAGCAGAACTAAGTCAGTTGTGTTAAAGTGGAACTAAATCCTCTGAAATCTTTTTCAGCCAAGGAAGCTGCCATCCTGGCCTCTGTTTTTCATGTCATGATGCTGCACATATGATCAGTTATATGACACCATCCTGTTGATGGTTTGACAGTTTGGGTGAGAGTACAAGCAAAAGTGACAGTTAGCATTCCCAACATGCCAGTAATATTTGTTTTTTTTAAACCATTACATTGATTGTTTTTGAAACTGTTAAAGCAGAACTAAACCCGTTACATTTCTGGCATGTCAGTTATGTTAACTGTAAGTTTGTTTGTGTTCCCAACCAAACCATCAAATCATCAAATGGTTGGTGTCATAACTGATCACATATACAGCACCATGGCAATTTCAGACCAAACAGAGGCCAAGATGACAGCTTCCTTGGCTGAAAAAGATAGGAGAGTTTAGTTCCAATTTAATAAACATAGACATTGATTCTGATTAAATGAGAATGCCAGGGAAGTATTTAAAAACATTTTTTAATCCACCCACTTTAGTGCCCATTCACACCATCACCAGGGATGGACTGACCATTTGGAAACTCAGGCACTGCCCGAGGGCCCGGGGTCAGTAGGGGGCCCCATGAGATGCCCCTGGTATCTTTTTCATAGGCTTTTTTGAGTTTGGGCAAGGACACAGGGGCCCCATGATCCCCTATGCCCGGGGCCCCATGAGCTGTCAGTCCGCCCCTTACCATCACATATATGTTTGTTAGAAATGCAGAAAGCATTTTTATTGCAGTGCAGATGTAGTTTCCCTTTTTTTTCAATTTCCTCCTTGGAAGCTCAATTATTAAATTGTGTGTTTTTAGTGAATTGCCATTGACTTTATTATAATGTGCATTTTTCAAGACCAGCAGAAAAGATGCAGCAAAAAAAAACAACTTTCAAATATAAAATGCATTGTACTATAACACAATGCAATCATGTGACAAGTTTCATAAATTATAATATAAACTAGAAAAGCTCCAATTTCTGGGGAAATTGTGTGAAGTGTTCTTGCCTCCACCAGTAGTCTACAACTGGAGTGGGCGGGGTAACTGGGTGGAGTGGGCGGAGTAACTGTGTGAAGTGTTCTTGCCTCCACCAGTAGTCTACAACTGGAGTGTGCGGAGTAACTGGGGGGAGTGGCTTGTCACTCTGCTGCCTGCTCACACACCTGGGTTCCTATGGCAACTCACTCTACAGCAAGGGCAGAGAAGAGCGATTAAAAACAAACTGCTCCAACTTGCTCACTTCACTGGCGGTTGCCATCTTCAAACGGTTGTAGTTTAAAAATGATAAATCCTACAGTGAAGAGCTTTATATTGTGAGAATCACAAGACCCAGACCTACATTTTGATGCATAGTATGTCTCTGAAATATTAAAAATGAAGGCGTAGTCGCAGTTTAGAAATTGCCCTTCAAATTAGAGGTGGCTAGAGTGGAGTTTCAATGAATGTCAATGGGCAGCGTGAGTTGCAAACAAATGGACATATTGTGAAAACTATCAGGACTACGGCTTAGCCGTGGACATTTTTAGTGGCAGCCGGGATAGCTGAACGTTTTTATATAAGATTTGTGTAGGTGGACTTGAAAATGAGGGAGTGATGGCAGTTTAGAAATCATGTCCTGATTTTTCAGCTCACACTCTAGCTTTTGTCAGCTCCCACTCTAGTTTTGAACATTCCGCCATTCATTCCTATGGGACCAATTTCACCACAAAAACGGCGATATTTCGTGAACCATTCGGCGAAACGTTCCATAAAGTAATAGCGCACCAATCGGGAACAATCCGCACGTTTCGGTATATTACTGTCTATGTAGGGTAAAAAACTGTGGGAGGAGTTAGGGTGGTAAATTTGGCAATAATAATATATATGTGAGATAACAGGAAGTGGTCGCCATGCAGGAACACTTAATGATTAATGTTGGAGTGCTTTGAACATGTCTTCAGTTACAACATAATGGTGTGAGTAGGCCCCTAGTCCACCTATGCAATGCTTCAAAAATCATAACATGCATTTGAATTGCTGCAAGTATAACTACCCAAAATCTGTTCATTTTATTTTCACAAAACAATTGCAGAGCATAAATCGTTTTAATGAAAATCAAGACCTGTCCCTTTGCCATTTTAACATGTTTCAGGCACTGGTAGAGGTGAAAACTCATCAATGCATTAGTGTTTGTTAAAGCGGTAGGTTGGACATAGAAAGACAACATGGTATGCAGACCTGCCAGGTTTCAACTGCAGTGTGGCCCTTCTTGTCGTATACTATGGCAGGCATATGCACTTTGTATAGATTTCATTTTTCATTATGTTTTAAGTAGTCTGAAAAATGTTGCATTGTATTGCCCGTTGCTTTGTCAGGCATTCTTTATGCAGAATGTATACAGTTTAGTTTGGATACTGTAAGCCAGTGGTTCTCAACCTTCCTAATGCCGCGACCCTTTAATACAGTTCCTCATGTTGTGGTGACCCCCAACCATAAAATTATTTACCCAGTAATTATAATTCATGAGTGTTGTTTTACCTCCAATACTGCTGCTTTCAACACAGTAGCTGCTTTCTACACAGTAGCTGCTTTCTACACAGTAGCTGCTTTCTACACAGTAGCTGCTTTCTACACAGTAGCTGTTCATTACACATCGGAAATATGTGTTTTCCCGATGGTCTTAGGCGACCCCTGTGAAAGGGTCATTCGACCCCCAAAGGGGTCGTGACCCACAGGTTGAGAACCACTGCTGTAAGCTTTTGTCAGGTTCTTCAAGGTGGCTATAGACAGTAGTGACCAGCTGCAAGTGCATGCTCCTTCTGCCCATCTCAAATTTGCAGGTTAGAAAATTGCTCGATTCCCCCAACAACACATTCTCTGTTGATGGGGGAATCCCTCTCATGGAGCTATTGAGTTCTCTTCCGGTGGAGGGGGCACGAATAACCGATCCAGCTGGGAGAACAAAGTGATTACTGCTAGTGACTATAATAGCCTCTGGCAATAATCACATGTAAAAATCTAACATGCTGGTTGTTCCAAAGTCGTACAATAATCAAATTGGGTACAGTCAGCCTGCCCATAGATGGTTGAATCTCGACTGGTTCAGCAGGGACCGACCAAAATACGAACCACCTACAGGCGCTGTCCTATAGACATTATATCATTAGGATTATCACATAGTGTCGGTGGGTAATATACCTTTGTCATGTGAACAGATCTAGTTATATGCAGCTCTGTATATTAAATAGTGTTTATTTTTTCAATTTTCACTTTTTCTTGTATCTTAATTATATTATATTATTTGATGAGCACTTCAAAGAAACAGTTACCTATAATTATAAATATATCTATGAATTCCAGCTGAACAAAGAACCCTGATACAATGCAAAATGGTGATAACCCGCAGGACAGCTTATTTTAAAGAAAATCGACTGTCTTTTTAAATAGATATGTGTTAATATGATTACTTTATGACATTAAATCACATCAAAGTGTGTTAGTCTTTAAAAAACCTTGTCTCTCTCTGCATAGTTTTCAATGGAGAAGCGGCAATGACATAAACCGTCCATATAACAGAAGATAGTGCTTCCTACTTAGCATTAATGATGAAGTTTTATTGTCGCTCTCTCAGTGCAGGTATATGAGTCTGCAGTGCCCAGACTCTGAGACTCTCTAAATGGATTCTTGGGTATTCTCAGCAGGTGGTTTGTATGGATAGTTCCCACATTGTCTGTCATCGGCATATACATTTTATCACAAGAGCAGGCAAAGTCTTCTGATGTGCTGACATCCGTAATAAAGACTTCTTCAGGGTGTGCTTCCTCTTTTCATTTCAGTTGTTGAAACTTCTGAAGGTTTTCTTGATCTACAAAAAAGTATATGTTTATTTAATATAACATGTTGTTTGGAGAGAATAGCATTGCTTTGTGCTACTGTACTTTATTCTACCTAAAATGTGATCAGTGTGACATTTTTTAACCACTTCCCGACTGGCCGTTGCATATAAACGGCCGGACGGTGGCAGTGCAGAGTCGGGTGGCCGTTTATAAATGGCCTTCCCGCACCCTGCTTCTGCGCGCTCCCTCGGAGCGCGCAGCACCGCGGTCCGTTGCCCGCTGTGTCCTCCGGACACAGTGAAATAGCGATCGTCGGACGGGACCTCAAAAATGTGATGGCTGTGTTCACACATCATTGCAAATAATGTCAGTAATGTGCCTAATATTATGTATTCCCAATGACTGTCAGCTCCAACTAGGGGTAATAATTTGGGATTTTCCTGATTGTGGTGTTTCAGGAAAATATTGCATTATGGCCACTAGAATAGTTTTTAACCACTTCCTGACCGGCGTATATAAACAGGCGGACGGTGGCAGTGTAGGGGCGGGTTGCCGTTCATAAACGGCACCCGCCTTTTCTAGCTGTGCGCGCTCCCTGGGAGCGCGCAGCACCGCGATCCGGTGCCCGCTGTGTCCTCCGGACACAGTAAAACACTGATCGTCGGACGGGACCTCTGTACGAGGTCCCGATCATGCGATCACTAAATGGCCAATCAGTGATCACATGCAAAGTAGTAAGCAAGAGGTCACTTGTGACATCATTGCTTACTACGTGTGAAATCTGTGAATGATCACAGAGGTCACATGGTACAAGGCTATTCACAACAGCCTTGTACCATGTGACAAGCTGTGACCAATCACAGCTCACTCAGTACTTCTCAATGAGTGCAAGAATGCAGCCAGAGAGAAAGAGAAATGATTGCTTTTACACCCTATATGGGTGTAAAAGCAATCAGTGTAAAAAAACAAACCAAAAAAAAAATCTTCATCACCCCCCACAAGTAGTACAGTGTCACCATGGTGGCCATGGTGACACTGTACTGCTAGGGTGACAGTATGTAAAAAAAAAATAATAATAATAATATAAAAAATAAAATAAAAATATTAAAAAAAATGTTTAAAATGTATAATTTTTGGTTATAAACTAATTTAGATTTTTTTTTTTACTAAAAAGATAACGGAATAAATTTTGGCAAAGATTTATGAAGAAATATTATTTATTTGCAAAATTTTATAAAAAAAAACACTTTTTAAAAATTTTTTTAGACTTTTTCATTTACATAGCAAAAAAAATTAAAATCCCAGCGGTGAATAAATACCACCAAAATAAAGCTTTATGTGTCTCAAAAAAATGGTAAAAAATTCATTTGGGTACAGTGTTGCATGACCGCGCAATTGTCATTCAAAGTGTGATAGCGCTGAAAGCTGAAAATTGCCCTGGTCAGGAAGGGGGTAAAAGTGTCCGGACAGGAAGGGGGGGAAAGTGTCCGGACTGGAAGTGGTTAAGTACAGTCAGTTTTATAAGTCAGTATAGTATTGTCAGTATGTGTAGTTTTAGACATGGAAACAGCAAGACAAAGTGCCCCGACTCTTTTTTCCATTCTTCATTCTGTACAATTTCTTCCCGCTCTCCCTGCCTTCCTCTAACTCCGAACATCTTCTCAGATAACTATCACACCCATCAAAGATAAAAATTGTTACATCTTTACTGACCCCCAAACCTTTTAACTTTCTGATGGGAAAGAGTGATAGATTTTAGCACAAAATGATTTGTCAAATGACACACGCTTGGTACAACCTTCAACTAAACCCATTTTTCGCAACTATTTTTTCTTCACAAGAGTATTCAAAAATACATCACATTTGATGATTGGATGAAAAAATTATTGGCATATAAAAACATTTGGCAGTTAACCACTTGCCCTCCAGAGGATTTACCCCCCTTAATGACCAGGTCTCTTTTTGCTACTTGGCGTTGCACTAATTCAACTAATAATTGCGCAGTCATGCAATGCTGCACCCAAACGAAATTTACATCCTTTTTTTCACACAAATAGAGCTTTCTTTCTGTGGTATTTGATCACCTGTGCGCTTTTTATTTTTCACGCTATAAACAAAAAAAAGGCCAAAAATTTTGAAGAAAAACGATATTTTTTACTTTCAGCTATAAAAAATATATAGTAAACTCAAAGTTAGTTATAAATTTAGGCCAAAATGTATTCTGCTCCATGTTTTTGGTAAAAAAAAAATCCCAATAAGTGTATATTGATTGCTTTGTGTGAAAGTTATAGCGTCTACAAACTATGGTATAGATACTGCAATTTACGCCATTTTTTTGCTATACAGCGCTGTGCTAGTTTAATGGACAATTGCGCGGTCATGCAATATGGTACATAAATGAAATTTACATCCTTTTTTTCCCCACAAATTGAGCTTTCTTTTGGTGGTATTTGATTGCCTGTGTGGATTTTATTTTTTGCGCTATAAAAAAAAAAGGCTGACAATTTTGAGGAAAAAAAACTATATTTTGGACTTTTTGCTATCAAACATGTTCAGTAAAAAAAAAATTTAAAAATCAAATTTAGTCATAAATTTCTGCCAAAATGCATTCTGCGACATGTCTTTGCTAAAAAAAAACCCCAATATGTGTAAATTAATTGGTTTACGTGAAAGTTATAGCGTTTACAAATGGCGGGAAAGATACTGGGATTTTTAGGGTTTTTTTATACTAATAATGGCGGCGATCAGCGACTTATGGTGGGACTGCGGGACTGCGGCGGACATTCTGACATTGGGGGGTACAGACTTGGGGTCACTGACATCCCCAGTGACACCAATACAGTGATCAGTGCAAAAAAAAAAAACACTGACACTGTACTAATGGCACTGGGGAGATAGGGGTTAAATTTATTATTCAGGGAAAGGGTTAACTGTGTGAGGAGGAGTGTTTTACTAGGGGGCGGGGGTGTGTACTGCAGGGAACACCGCTGATCGGGAGAGAGAAACTCTTCTGTCCCGATCAGCATGTCCTGGAGCTGTCAGGGAACTGACAGAAAGCACAGCTACTGCAGCTGTGCTCTCTGTCAGCGATTACCGCCGATCGCTGGGACATAGCCAGTAACGACTGACATCCGCGGCTGTGATCGGCGGGACAGGTAGGGCGGCGGCGCGCCTCGCACGTGCCCCCCTACCTGTTTTAAAAACACACATTTCTACAGTAGCTGGGCGGCATGTGGTTAAACAGCACTGTTTGATGCAAGTTTCTACAGCAGATTTAACCAAACACGAGCATTAAAGAATGATGGACTTTTTAGGTACCCAGGAAAAGATTTACAGTATTCTATAAAAAAAAGTATGTTATTATAATCACATGAATACATTACAACTGGGTTGCTGATAGACACATCAATTTATTTGTCCCAGTTGTACAGGTATTCCCCTCCAGTACTCATTAGCCATTGATATATTTGTACAATAAATTCTTCATTCAAGTGGTGTACAATATAAATGGTCTCAACTGGCTCTGCAGCTCAGAAGATCCCTCTGGGAAGAAGGATACCAAGGATTAGCATTAGCCAAAGATACAGGATTTCCTTGAGAAGGAGAATAACTTCATTGAGTAAATTCCTACTAAGAGAGGAATAGGGGGTCACAGAGTGCAGGGAACCCAGGGAGGCCTGGGAAACAGCTACATGAAGCAGCAAATGAATGATGCTGCAAGGTAGCTTAAAAATATGTTGCCTCCAAGTAATTAGTGGGCTAAATGGAGTATTATGATCATCCAAAACCAAGGTGGCTAGATACCAAGGGACCCATATGAATGTTTCAACAGGCCTCCCACTCGTAGAGGTGAGAACACACACTTAATGTCAAAGGCTTACTAGAGTCGTTAGCAGCTTCTGTACCTATTACCTTAGTACAAAACATAGATCAGCTATTTTCAACCAGGGTGCCCAGGCACCGTGGGGTGCCTTCAGGCTTCTTCAGGGGTGCCTTGGCAAAATGCCTAAAAACTGCCCATAAATTGTATACAAGCCAGTAGGCGGATCAATCCTGCCTTTTAGTACACAAAGCCACAGGTTTTCATTGTGCACTTTTATGACCTTCTAGCTTCCGGTGTCCCAACCAAATACATCATCAGTTGATAAGGAGGACATCAGGCGCATGCACATCATCCTTGTTTGCCCCTCCCTTGCCTTCTCTGTCAGCACTGGAGTCACATAAGCAGAGTGAGGGATCAAAACTGAGAGAGACACACTGGAATACTAGTCAGTACCAGTGTGCAAAGGTATATTTGCTTTGGAAGAATACATCACCTCTAATGTTGGGTGTACTATGTGTGGATATATGTAGAATAGGTTTTTTTACAATTTAGAATGGGGTGCCTTGAGATTGTGCAGAATTTTAAAGGGTGCCTTGAGATTTCAGGCAGGTAACCAAGTCACTGTAAGCAGGTAGTGGAACAGAAGCCAAAATCTGGGTCCACTTGATAGCGCAGCAGTAGAATGGTGCTTCCTCTAGACCAAATAGGTGGAAAGAAAATGCATAGCGTGCATGTATCGTGCTTCATGTAGAAGATGACATCAGTGCTCACTGCCCAAGCAAGCGGACTGACCATTTGTGCACTAAGGCACTGCCCGAGGACCCGAGGTCAGTAGGGGGCCACATGAGATGCCCCTGGTACCTTTTATTGTCTTTTTCATAGGCTTTTTTGGGTGTGGGAGAGGACACAGGGGCCCCATGATCCCCTATTGCCCTGGGGCCCCATGAGTTGTCAGTCCACCCCTGTGCCCAAGTCTTAATCCTTACCACAATGAAGATGGCAGAGGCAGGAAATTTAAAAAAACGGCACCCAGTGGTAATAACGGTGAGATAGCTCCCAGTGCTTCAGTCTGACTGGCCTTGCTCACTAGATGAGCTTTCAGAAACAGGGTCATACATGATGGTCACATTAGAGATCTACCTTTGCTATGTCCAGAGGCCTCACTATGTGAGGGCTGTGCAACAGATTTAGATGTGGAAAGTGATTTAGATAACTAGGTGCTCTAACAGAAAACAACATGGCAACGAAGTATCCTGGTTGGAGGCACTCATGGGACTTCACCATGAGTATTACAAGTACCACTATACACTTTCTATCTGCTCATATGTTGCTGTACCAAATGACATGCTGGTTAACATTTGTTAATCAGAAAACAGAAGTACATTAGATTGTGAAGATTGCATATCTATACTGAACCTTTAATATGAAGCCTACTTTCACAAATATCTCTTTTGCGTATTGTGCAATGTATTATTATATTATTAACTTACATTTAGTAGAATAGTGTTAAAGTCTATTTTCTGTGATTGTATGCTTGTTTCTAAATTAGTCTTGATTTCAGGATCTTCTTCAGGAACACTCAAAGTGAAGTAGAAGGAACACTTTGGCTTTTGTAGAGATTGCTGTTGTGTCCTTCAGCACTGCTTTCTGATTCCAAGTCAGAAAACTCAAGTTCAGAACAGAGCCTTGACTGTTCTTCCAAAACCTGTTCAAGTTGCTGTAATAATACACAGAACATGATCTATAAAATTATACTGAATAATCATAAATAGAAAATGTAAACAAATCTCTTCCACAACACGCCCAGGACAAAATTGTAGACCTGGACAAGACTGGAATGGGCTACAAGACCATTAGGAAGAAGCTTGGCGAGAAGGAGACTACTGTTGGAGTGAATGTTCGCAAATGGAAGAAATAGAAAATAACCATCAATTGCCCTTGGTCTAGAGCTCCTTGCATTTCAGTGAGTAAAATATTTGATCCCTAACATACAAAATACAAAACATACAAAACATCACTTAGTACTTGATAATTAAGTAAATAAA